TGTCTCGTAGAAAGAGAAAGTCTCTAATGCAGATCTTATGCACTTCTTATCATTTTTTGATAACGTGCTCTGGTTTGTCTTGGTTGCACCGTCGAGGAACAGGTGGCATTAAAAAAACGTCAACTCTGTCTCTAGTGCGAATTTGATATGCGTCTGAAGTTGGTAGAATCATCCTTCTGTTGTCTTCTCTTGCTCTGAACGGGCTCTGGCCTCTTTCTTCTTGCTAGGCAAATCAGACTTGCGGTTTAGGACAAGTGAAATTTCTTCCTTTTCTGTTATCTACTAGTCAGGAATGCCTCCGCTGGAAATCTGATCTTCTGGATCTGAAGGAGTTACGTTGATCATTACGGTATTACTTTCTCCTTTGGTTATTATATCGCCGTTGCGTATGAATTTGTGATCTTGGGCATAATTAACAAAGGAGTTTTTGATTGATTTCTCGCGTTCATGGTTCTATAGAATTCCTCTCTCGAAAGCTCTATTAGAAAATCATCAGGTTGTTTTGTATCTTCAATCTAACTCCTACATGAATTAAAATCTTTCACGGTGGCGAAAACACCGCGTCAGCAAAACCTTGCTCCTCTATGATGAACGGAAGGCGCAACAACATATGAGGGAAGAAACAATCAAATGTGGAAGAAACCTATTTTTAGAGAAAGAATGAAAGAGGAAAAGAGAACGGAAAAGAACGAGAAACTTTTTTTGAGCTTGAGCGATTAAACTAAAACGTTTTGATTAATTTATTTTTTTAGGCTCAAATATTTCATAATATTTTCAGGAAAAAAATTGAGAAAGAAATTATTAAAAAAAAAGAAGAAAATGTGTAGGAATAACATAGGGAATACTGTGGAATGGACGGGGTATACACCGCCTCAGGCGTGATCACCCTGCAAAAATTTGTTTTATTTTTCACTGTTAACAAGGACAACACTTTCAGTTACCTATCCCATACGTACTTACCACCTAGCTAATACTAGCTTCCTTCCAGCTACTACTAGCTACCACTCATTCACCCAACCAGCCACTCAGTCTACAACACGCAAGTTTACTTTGAAAAGTTTTGAAAATCGTTTATGTTACCCATCACTCTCAGTTCTTTAGGACAAGTTCACATCTACTCCACTCGTTTTCAACAAACAGCTATCCGATTCGGACAGTTCAACACCTTCAGACAACTCTTCGAACTCAAGAGGCTCGCACTTCCTCACTCCAACACCAAGTACGCTCTCCTACCACCATTCGAACAAAGACATTATAAAATTCTGAGAAAGATGAAATCGAATCACCTATATTAGACTTTCGGTCGAACCAAACGATTTTTCACTAATTTTAAGAAACTAAATAGCAAAAACAAAATTATCCAAATTTTATTTCCAAAAATCTAGAGAAATAGTGGAAGCAAAAAGCGAAAAAACTATAGAATACCTAAATTTGGAGGTAAGAGGAAACCAATTCAACCCAAACAGTCAGAGAAATTTCGCAACATCCACTTCTGACCAAATCTCGACAACAGAAAGAACTAACACTCTCTCAAATCAAGAACAGCTGAACTCACCAACTGTTCCTACTAACGATCTATCCCACGCTTCTCTCTCATCAGTCCAATCCTCATCATCACCTGATTTTCTCGAAAAATCCGAAAGAACCCAGAACCTAAAACGGTAAACGAAAGTAATAAAGAGAGTGAAAGACAAAAAGAGAGAGAACGAAATATGGCAGTAGGCTTGGGAAAGAACTACCAGGGGCTGGTGGACTTACGCTAGCAACCCTTTTGAGTTCACTTCATTGTCCCGTCTACGATGATACAAGAAACTTCCGAGATTTCATCGGAAAATTCAATATGTTTGCAAATAGAATGACCAACCCAGAACAAATCATGGTTCTCCCCGTACTTCTGCGTGATGAAACCGCAGCAGAAGAGTACAACAATCTGGACCAAGAGATAAAGAATCAAGGGCTTGGGAAACCCTCATCAAAGAACTATGCAATGAAGTTTGTCCACCGCATAGGCAAAACAACGAATTATTAAAACTTTACAATATGCGCCAAGGAGAACTCACAGTCAAAGCGTATGTTCAAAAATCAAGAAAAAAAGCAACTGCAGCTTTCACTGGCAATGACCTTCTCAAGAAGACGTTTCTGAAATCAACGAAAGAAGATTCACTTTGATCAGAGGCCGACGACTTGCTCACCAACGCGGTACAACAAGCTTTAAAAACTATATCTCTCGACCGGGACGAGGATAAGACAGAGGAGAGAGCTTCCGAGAGAGGAGTTCAATATGAAAAAAACTGTGAGCGAGAGGAAGCTCTCAACGATTCCTTCGTAAATTATACTCAACATCACAACGGCAGGAGGCCATTTTACTCCAACCACGGACGTAATGAGTATTCTCAAAGAATTGGTCAACAGTATCCACAACGACGATACTATGACCAAAGAAGAACACACAACCTAAAACAGTGAACGAAAGTGATAAAAAGAGAGAAAAAGAAAAAGAGAGTCAAAGACAAAAAGAGAGAGAACGAAAAATGGCACTTGATTTGGGAAGAGAACTACCAGGGGCTGGAGGACTTACGCTAGCTACCCTTCTGAGTTCTTCCCACTGTCCTGTCTATGACGGTACGAGAAACTTTCGTGATTTCATCGGAAGGTTCAATACGTTTGCAAATGCGAACAGAATGACCAACCCTGAAAGAATTATGGTCTCCCCGTACTTTTGCGTGATGAGACCGCAGAAGAAGAGTATAACAACCTGGACTCAGAAATTAAGAACCAAGGGCCTTGGGAGACCCTTGTTAAAGAACTATGTGATAAAGTTTGTCCGCCACATAGACAGAGCAACGAGTTATTAGAACTCCAGAATATACGCCAAGGGGAACTTACTATCGACGCATATGTTCAAAAACTGAGAAGAAAAGCAACAGCAGCCTTCACCGGCAATGACCCTCTGAAAGAAAAGATTCTGAAATCAACATTCCTCAGAGGACTGAATAAGAAAATAAGAAAAGATGTCATTAGAAGTGAGCCGACAACATTCACAGAAGCTATCATTAAAGCTCAGAAAGAAGAAGCACTGTGGGCAGAGAGCAACGATGACCTGCTCATCAATGCAGTGCAACAAGCTCTAAAAACTATATCTCTTGACCGGGACGAAGAAGAGATAGAGCGAAGAGCTTTTGAGAGAGGAGTCCAATACGAAAAAAACTGTGGGCGAGAGGAAGCTATGAACGATTCCTTCGTAAACTATACCCAACATCACAATGGCAGGAGACCATTTTACTCCAACCACGGTCGTAATGAATATCCGCAAAGAACTGGTCAACAGTATCCTCAACGGCGATACTATGACCAAAGAAGAGAACCGTACCGCAACGAACAACGAAATCCTTTCAACTCCAGAAGAACAGATTTCCAGCGCAGCCGTTCTCGACCCGGAGACAACAGAAGAGGAAGGGATTTCTCCCGTCCAGAGCCACACGTACGGTTTGCTCAACGGGAAGAAAGAGGCCCAAGCCCTTTTAGAGGAAGAGAAGATAAGAGATGCACCAAAGAAAATTATAAAATCTGTATTAGAGATCTACTCTATATAAGAGAATCAAACGAAACAATCGAATCCATTGAACCAATCGCACCTGAGGAATGCCGCGAAATTCTAAGAGACAGGAAGTTTAAGGAAAATACTCTTCATCCAGCAGGGCTTAATGCGTATGCAACACCTGACCCAATATACAGTCCTAGTAGATCCCTCTCGAAAACGGAATGCGTGCAAAAGCCACGATATATTCTCGAGCGAGGACATATGACCCGCATGCCAGATGATTCCATCCTATCCGATCTTCTTCTCAATACGGATAGATGCCTGGAGATAGAGCCCATCACGGAGATTGTAAGTCAGAAATGTCTATAGTAATTTGGACGCCCCAGGACTATGACAGGAGATGTGGTTTCATCAATCTCCAGGAATACGACGCCATCATAGGAGATAATACTATCGTTATCCCAAGCACGCAGACAGCCCTTATTTTCAGCCATGAAAAAATCCCTAGAGCAATACATTCTTGCTTTTCAACACCTGTTTTTCACACAACAACAACGTTTATTTTTTTAATGCCACCTGTTCCTTGACGGTGCAACCAAGACAAACCAGAGCACGTTATCAAAAAATGATAAGAAGTGCATAA